GCAGTCCATTCAGATATTAGGGGACAAAGGTAGGGTCATTAGGCATAAATAAATCTAAGAGTCCTATCACACAGAAGCCAGCAAACACAGGCTCAGTGTAAACAGGGACAAACAGGAGGAGCAGACTTTCTCTTAGGTTACCACTGCTATGGCAACTGAAAGAATAATTAAGAGTCCTGAACAAAAAGAGTCAAATAGGCAACTTGGCTGCCTGGCAAGTGTTCTGGAGACAGAGGTGCTTACTGTATGTTCTATTTTTCTCCATTTTCCCACACCCACTCTCTGAGACACAATTCAACGTTTTAAAGTTTACAATTCAGTGATTTTTAGTAAATTCACAAGGTTGGGCAACCTTGTCACCATCATCTAATTCCAGAACATTTTCATTATCCTGTGAAGAAGCCTATTGCATGGATACTCCCCATTCCTCCTGGTTCTCAGCCTGACACCCACTAACCTACTTCCTGTCTCCCTGGGTTTCTGGACAAACACAGGCAGTCCTCAACTTACGACAGGCACTGCTCTGACAACCATTCCGCCCAAAGTCAGTTCTGACTTAGCTGAATGCCCCATTTTGGGGGTTCTCATTACTATTGTCCTTTAATTGTCCTTGGAGGTTGACATACTACCTCTGAGAATGAAAGCATCAACAAAGTACATGTTGTAACATTTACGTAGAACGCCTTACTAGCAATCCCACTCACTTGCGGCTGTTGAGATGTATAAAATACAACCGCAAAAAACGGACAGTGCAGTGTGGTTTGCTGTCACTTGAATGCATACGTCCTAAATCGGAGACTACCTGTGGACAGAACCACATACTCTGTGGCTTCTGTGTCGCTTTCCCCTTGAGCGTGCTGTTTGTTAACCGTGCACCCTGCTGTAACATGCATCGGAACCGCCCTCCTTTCCCGGGCTCTTGATCACAGAAGAGACCTCTACTTCTGAACCCCGAGCAGAAAACCTTCTCTGAGGTTTCAGTGGTTCCCAGATGCATTTGGCCTACCTTTCCCTTTTCAGAAACAAACAGTGACCTCACTCGCAATGGAAAATGTTTGTACTACTATTATGGGCTACTACTATAGCCCATAATCCAGGATAAGTGTGGGTATCTGTTTTTGCAGCCCCCTAGGACCATTCCAGTGCCCCCCAGGGGGTGGTCCTGTCTACTCTGGGAAGCACTGAGATGTTGACATTTGTGATGCTGTGTACAGTTTTCCTTCTCAGAGCCTTGATCAAGCGCTGTGGTTGTAAATAACCATCAAAGGCTGTGAATAACATGTTCGTGTGAAGAGCTCACTTTTACACAACAGGGATTACGTGTGTGGTGATGTAAGCAGCCCGACACACAATCAGCCTTTCTTAACAAAGCAAGAGACTGACAGACCGGCCCAGACTCAGAAAGAACACAGGCAGAAACAAGCAGGAAAGGCAATGGGCTGCTCTGAATGAGACGGTTCCTGCCTGAGATCCTGTTGGAATTTGTAGGGGACTTGAGAGCGCCCTCTGAGACTGGACAAAACCCTGTGTACCCCAGAATTGTCCCACTCTGCAGCCATTAAAATTGTTGCAAGGCTGAGTGGGCTTATCCTGTTGGCCAGTTCTCACGGGAAAGGCCAATCGGCCCAGTCCCACACATCCACTGAGCAAACTCAGGGTGCAACCTGCATCCGTGAGATAAGTGCTGCTGGCGCTCAAAAGACCAGCGTGGAGGTGTTTCATAGGCTCTTACTAGGTCAACAGGAAGAGAATAAAAGCAGCACCGACTGTGAAGATAGATCAGCACTGTGACCAAGTGTGACACCTGCTGGCTGTCTGAGGAAAGAAAGAAATGCCTTCAGGACTCAAAGGTTCTAAGCTTTGGCATCATAAGGAGAAAAGAAGGGGCCTTCTACTCATGTAAAGAATTATAGTCTCTCATAACCTCACAGGGGCAGTTCTACTCTGCCCTATAGTCATTATGAGTCACCATCAACTCGATGGCAGTGAGTCTGGTTTTGTTTATTGTGGGGTTCTTATCATAAAATAAAGGAAAATAACAAGATGCCATCTTTTGACCCTCAAATGAGCAAATTTTAAAAATTTAAAATCATCTTGGGGGCTGATTCATGGGAACTAGGATAAAGGTGATAAAAGTAGTATCAATCACCCTTCTTTGGGGCAATTAAAGTTTGCTATCAAAAGGGTTCACATTCTAATGCTAGGGAAATAGATCTATGTGCATACACTTATATGTTAAGTATTAAGGCAGCAGGCAGACATTGGGCCTCCAATCAAATACTCAACACAAGAACACTTTGTTCTAATAACCTGGCATTCGGTGATGCTCACCTTCCCTACACAATCGCTGAAGACAAAATGGGTACATAAGCAAACGTGGTGAAGAAAGTTGATGGTGCCCAGCTATCAAAACATAGAGCGTCTGGGGTCTTAAAGGCTTGAAGATAAACAAGAGGCCATCTAGCTGAGAAGCAACTAAGCCCACATGGAAGAAGCACATCTGCCTGTGTGATCATGAAGTGTCGACAGGATCAGGTAACGGGCATCAAAGACCCAGAACAAAAAAATCATACCAATGTGAATGAGGCGGTGGGCGGAGTAGAGGCCCAAAGCCCATCTGTAAACAATTGGACATACCCTTACAGAAGGATCACAAGGAAGAGATGAGACAGTCAGGGTGCAGTATAGCACTGATGAAGCATACAATTTTCCTTTATTTCTTTAATGCTTCCTCCCCCACCCCAACTATCATGACCTCAATTCTACTTTACAAATCTGGCTAGACCAGAGCATGTAAACTGATAGAGATAAGAACTGGAAATGCAGGAAATCCAGGACAGATAAACCCCTCAGGACCAATAATGAGAGTGTCGATACCAGGAGGGTATGGGGAAGATGGGGGAATAAGGAGGTAACTGATCACAATGAGTGGCATATGCACTGCCCTCCCCCCAGGGGAATGAGCAACAGAGGGGTGGGTGAAGGGAGACAGCGGATGATGTCATATATGAAAACAATAATAATTTATAATTTATCAAGGGTTTGTGAGGGGCGGGGAGGGATAAAAAATGAGGAGCTGATACCAAGGGCTCAAGAAGAAAGAAAATACTTTGAACATGATGATGGCAACATATGCACTAAAGTGACTGACACAATGGATGTATGTATGGATCGTGATAAGAGCTGTAAGAGCCCCCAATAAAATGATTTAAAAGAATTCATATTCTTCTTACTCAGTAATTCTATTGCTAGTTTATTTTAGCAGTTATCCCATATGTGTGTCAAGCTTTAGCTACAAACATGCCTGCTTTGGAACTGCTTAGAACAGAAAGAAATGGGAAATAACATATTTTAAAAATGAGGTACTAGGTGATCAGTACGGGAACTTTCACAATTTGTCTACCTGGCAACCATGAAAAAGGATCAGACTGGTTTCTAGGTACTGACATTACTTATTGTTCACAAGGAAAGAAACATTTATAGAACTTGTTGGTTTAAGAGGGGAAAAAGTCCCCAGTTTCTGGGCAGGGTGGGGGTGGGGGAGAATCAAGTTATGAACAAAGTAATCTCTGAAAACAAAAGTACAGCAGAACATTCACTTTCTGCCTAGTTTCTTCTGTGTTGAAAACAAGCCAACTTGTTTTTAAGTGCAGGCAGGCAAAACCCCAGAGCCAGCCAGAGTCCACAGGAGTGAATACATTTTCGCTGGAAGGCAAGAATTTTATGTCCTGTGCCCACACTGATCAGAAAGTCTGAGCCCTCAGAACACTCTCCCTTTGCCCAGCCCATCCCAGGGTTTTGGTCAGTGCACTGGTCCATTATACACAGAGGCTACTTCAAATCTTCACAGCTTGCAAGTTCCCTTCCTCACTCCTGTCACCTCCCTCTCAGGGAACAGCAAGGACCCTATGTGTCTCAGGAAGATGAAGAAAGTTAAGGGCCACTAGGCAGGAACACCACCGATTGCATGTGCCTGTTCCTGCTGCCTTTCAAACACACCAGCATTTGCAGACAGGAGGGACAGGGACAAGACGCTTTTGCTGGGCTTTTACTACAGCACCAATGGGCCCTCGGGCAGAGGGGGAAAGGACTGAACAGCCCATCAAGGTGAAACCAGGAGCTCGGCCAGTATGCATGACTCAGAGGGATGGAGGAAGGAAGCTAGCTGAGGAGACTGGGAATTAAGGGGCACATATCTTCTCTGGTCCTTACGGAAAGATGTGGGAATTGCGATCTAGGTAACATTCAAGTAACCCACTGGCTGTGAAATCCTTTCCCCAACATGCCCCCACATCCAGACTCATGCTTTGTTCCCAAACATACTGTAATTCCCAATACACCTTTTAGCATTCCTCTTGCCATGTGGCAAACTGCTAATTTATGTATCTATCAGCTCACCCCATTAAATTGTGATGCCTTCAAAGCAGAGATTAACGTCAACTATATAGCCTCGATGCAAAACAAAGAGCTCATTCACTGTTAATTAAAATTTAGACCATAAAGACAGTTTTACTTATAACAGTAAGTAATAATTAATGGAGAGAGAAAGCAGCACTTGTTCTCTTGGCTCTCACCAAACCAAACCTACTGCGATCGGGCCGAGTCCTGTAAATGAGCCCATAGGACACAGTAGACCTGCCGGACAGGGTTTCCAAGGCGGCAATCTTTCAGAAGCAGACTGCCACGCTTTCTCACACCAAGCAAATGGTGGGTTTCAGTCACTGACCTATCTGCTGGTAGCGAGCACCTTAATCACTGCGCCACCAGGGCTCCTCTCCAAAACAGCATCCTTTTAGAATCCCACAAATGAATGCAATTTAATCTTCCGTTAAAACATGACAGCATGCAGAGATGCAGGGGGGAAAAACAGAAAAATAATGTCTTTAATCGGTAGACATGGTCTGAAGAGAGAAGAGGTAGATTCCCGTAAATCCGAGAACTCTGACACCCCGCGCTAGGAATTTTCCAGTAAAGAACCCCAACACATTCACTCGACTTACTTGAGAACAGCAATCTCTTGAACTGTTATAGCCCTTTTGTCTTTGGTTCCCATGTAGGAGAATATGTTTGGCTTGACTCTGATAAGACAGGGAAAACAAATGAAATCACATATCTCATCATTTAAGTTCTGAGATACAATACATAAATCAGAACAGAACTGAGAATGATGGAAACTTTTCGATCACGTTTAGTCAGGAAAACAAATATGCAAGCTAAGAGTTTTTTTGTTTGTTTGTTTGTTTGTTTTTAAAGCGGCCTGAAGAAGCCTCTGCGTAGCAGCGCCTGACTGAGAACATTGAAGCTGTCTGTGACTGACACTGCTAAATGACTTGCCAGGGGCCTGCGCAGAGCAGTATACTTCCTGCTGAGCACATGCAACCACTAGATGATATGCATTAGGAAACTGAAAGACTAATCTCACTGCCATCGAGCCAATACTGTCTCACAGCAACCCTATAGGGCAGGACAGAACTGCCCCTGTTGAGTTTCTGAGACTACAACTGTTTACAGTAGAAAGCCCTTTCTCCCTTGGAGCTGCTGGTGGTTTCAAACTGATGACTTGTAGATTGCAGCTCAATGTGTAACTACTTGCCACCAGGGCTCCACACAACTATGAAAGTTAAGAAGATTTTACTCTAGCTAAATGCCACTTTGAAATTTTCTGTAGCTTCAATTTTTTGGAAACGAATGATAGTGGAGACTTTCCTTTAGTTCTCCAGTTATTGCTTTGTATAAAATTAATAACAAAAATCAACCCAACCACCATGGAGTTGATTTCAACTCATAGTGATCCTAAAGCAGTGGTTCTCAACCAGTGAGTCGAAACCACTTTTGGGGTGGGAGTGGGGGGGTGGAAGGTCAAATGACCCTTTCACAGGGGTCGCCCAATTCCTAACGGTAGCAAAATTACAGTTATGAAGTAGCAACAAAAATAAATTTATGGTGGGGGGGGTGTCACCACAACATCAGGAGCTGTATTAAAGGGTTGCAGCATCAGGAGGGTTGAGCACACACTGCCCATGAGGATGAACCAGAACTGTCCCACAGTTTCCTAAGCTGAAAATCTTCATGGAATCAGACTACCACATCTTTGTCCTATGCTCAGCAGCCTGGCCTCTGACCCTTTGCTCAGCAGCCTGGCCTAGCGCTTTACCCTGGTGCTACCAGGGCTCCTTTTGCTTTGTGTAGAAATGCCAAATGGGGGTCAGGATCAATTGGATTATGAACACATTTAGAGGTACTTTATAAACTTGACTGCTCCATCTCAACAGGAAAAAAACCAGAGCAAAATAGTAAGGCCATCTTGAACCCCAAGTGTCGCCAGCGGCAGCTATCGGAGCAGCCCCCGCTTGACCGTCTGTTCTCCAAGGCTCGGTCCTGTGCAGAGACCTAGTAAACTGGATAAAATCAAAGGACCTGTCATGGAACTGGGTCTGATTTCACCGTGATTTAGTGGCGTTAAGCAGATACCGGAAAGTGCATTTCCACAGCACACAGATTTGCTGACACCTATGCCCATTTCTATTTAAAATAAATAAATAAGTAAGACGTCCACCCCTCGGCCTCTGCTGCATCCAAGGAGGCAATCGGGCAGGCCTCATGTTTTCCATCTAGCCCCTCTCCCGCCAACAAGAGCTGCCGACCGCCCATCTCTGTACCCAAATCAACATGTAGGCTTCAGGGAGCAAACTGATTTCATTCCCGCTGGAGGTACTGGGGACTCTCAACTGCATTTAAATTACTGACCTATAAAACATCCATCTCGAATTGACAATATGCATCAGGGGTTGAAAGAATTGACCCATCTATTGCCCGGGACAACTGTATTTGGGGGTAACTTTGCTCGCGTGCTCTCTGCTCATGCTTCTTTCTTGCTCATCATCACAGCAAGAGGAAGAGATGGCAGTGTTCTGACTGTACCAGCACAGGAACGAGGTACTCACCTTAAGTATTTAGACAAAACATTAATAGCATCCATGGTGTCTTTGTTTTCCTTGTATAATACAAAGTGGCAGTAATTCCCCCTAGATTTCGGCCAAGAATGTTTTCTTGGATCTTGAAAAAAAAAAAAGAAAGAAACTTAATTAACGTGTACCATGTAAAAGTGATTTGAGTGTTGTCTCATGAAACCCTGCAAGCTCATTTTCTGGTCTAGAGTCTTGCTAGTGGGAAGTCTGCTCTAGTCCAACAGAAGACATATAGGTTCTGTGGTTACAGCTGTGTGAACTATAAGGACTACTCTTTCCAGAATTGCATACTTACATTGAATAATGATCTTTCCACATTTCAAATCAAAGGCTGAAAGGGACCTGGAATGAAAAATACCTACAACTTAGGTGGTCTGCTGACAGGTGAGAGTTGGGAGAGGTGCAGGTTTCCCGGCGGTGGTCCAGCACTGGGAGCCGAGATACCTAGCCCTCAGAACACAGTGGTGTCCTGAATCAACCGGGACACCACAATCTAACAGCCTTGCCATCTTCCCAAGCCAGTGTTCACGCTACTCATGCTGGGTGCCGCCTTATGGTGGCACATGTGGAAATAAAGCTAGTGAGGAGCTGCCTCAGGAACACCTTCAGCTTGTCCAAAGTTTGTCCATCATGAACGGTTAGCGACTGCTTTGCGGTTTGCAAATAGCTGCCTGACACAGAGACTTGATTACCAGTCCTTGGAAAGGGAACTTAAAATGTGAACTCTGAGCTACAGTGACTCAGACTGTGCCCTTCTTTCGGACAGGGGCAGTCCTCTCAAGACCGACTTTGAACACTGCTCGCTTATCGAACAACTTCATTGCGGTATCATCTAAAATGCCCACTAACACATAGCCAAAGTTGAACTTCAGCTACTCAAGTGGCGTTTCAAAGATCCCACCCTTGGAGAAAGGTGCGTCCGCCACAATGGCACTCCCAGGTAACGCACAACAGACACGAGCCTCGTGCGTCCCTGAACTGCAGTTAATTGAACAGCCTACCTAATTCACTTGAGTTGTGTCCTCCCATGAGGGAAAAATCGAAAAAATATTCCCTACAGTCCCTAGCAAGAGTCCTTTTCCTTTAAATAGGTTCCTCCATCTCTGTCCTGAAAACAATCCTTTGGCATAAAGTCCTTGAGGAGAACTGTGAGGGGGAACGATAGTTTGTTTTCACACTGCTCTACTTAGCACTTGTGAGAAAACTTCCCCTTGGCATTTTCATTTTGTCTACGTGAGACACCAACCGCTCTTACCTGGTGCAGTTCTGACCTCTGTCCAAATGCACAGCGTAGAGAGCACAAGAGAGCAACGTTTAATTCATAATACTGAACAGAATAGTACAGTGCTTTAGAGGTGAACATGCAAATGATCGCATGGTAAAGTGATGCTGAAGAAATCTACAGCAGCTGGTTGTTATGTGATGGGTTGACAGCCAATTAGACATTTAACAATGGGATGTCGCAGAGGCAAACAGTGGACAAGTCACAAACTCACCTACAAGAACAAGCCTGCCTGTCCCAATCCCTTCACAAGGAGCATGTTAGCTTGTCCTCAAAGCTGCACTGTGTGTACCCACAGTCTGTATGCAGTCAAGGGGTGAACACTAGGTACAAAATGCCCACCCCCCTTGAATGTGTACCTCCTGAGATATGAACGGGCAGAGGCCCAAACGCGATCTGTGATTCTCTCTGGTGCTGAGACTGTCAGCCATCCTTTCTTACCTTGCTTTGTGCTTTTCTAAGTTTTATGTGTTTCCTGCACTGGGTTTACAGCGTGTATTTGTTTTTAAAAAACAGAATCACTATGGACAGCAGTGCTCTAAGATGAGAAATTCTTACCGATGAAAAGATATTTTCTAGGGGACCATTGAATAGAACGCTCTGACTTTGTTTGGGTTCTTATCTGAACAAGTCAGCTGTACAGCACAGCTATTTTTGAGGTGATCAGGGGAAAACAGACTGGGACTGGGTTTTAGGTGTATTAAGGAATTATTGCTATTTTTGTTGGGGAGGGTTGTTATTTGTTGTCTGTTGTAAGTTTGGGCTTCCTTAGTTGTTAGAAGCAAAGCTCAGGAAGCATTTAGAAGTGAAATTAAATGATGTGCAGAATTTGCCTTAAACTCCTCCAGCAGGAGAGAGAAAAAGTAGGGGGAGAGATATGATAAAAACAATAGAACACCGATCACTGTGAAGCTGGAACACAGGTTCTAAACACGGCTTCCTCTATCGATTTGTTTAAAAACGTCTTCAATAAACGGTTTTTAATGACCCACTTGTCATAAGTAGTTTTCCCTTCACGACTCTTCCAGTGTATCCATAATCACCTACAGCGGCCAGAGCCAGAGTAAGGCACAAGGATGAAAAAGGAAATGCCGTTGCATCTGAAGAGACGCAGACAGCTGAGGGAGTCTGGCTCGTAGCATGCATCCTGTGACAGCCAGCCCAAGCAGTGAGCATGCAGGCAACGATGCCCCCGAAGACCACCGTGAGACCGGTCCCTTTTCTACACAAAGCAGTCAGCAGAGGCACTGAGTGATGGGGGCATTTTGAGTCACTGGTACGCCATGAGCTTCAGCATAGCCTGGGCAACTTTTATGAAGCTCCGACCTCTAGGCAACGCTGTATCGCTGGCTTTACAATTCAAGTGAATTTGAAATAACTTTGAAAAAATTGCTGGGGTGTGGGGTGGGGGGAGAGAGATTTTGCTGTACAGTGCAAATGTACAAAGTTCGCGTGCTGGTGTGGTAGGAAGTGATGTTCCTTCCCATGGTCTGACACGGTCGCTCTAGAAAAATGGAGACCAGGTGACAGGGGAATGAAGTTTGAGGAGGGTCATGTATGGAGCAGAGAGCCCCTCAAGATTAAGAAAGGAAAAATGCTAGCCCCTAATAAAATGATTAAAAAAAAGAAAAAAAGGAAAAATGCTGTGACTCCAGAGTTGAGCAGGCAGGAGGGGGCAGCAAGCAGAACACTTGTCCTTCCTTCCCAAGGCCACTCCCACTACTGCACTTGTGATAGCTACATAATCTGATGTCAACTTGTGGAGGGGTAGAGTCTAGCCTGTCAATCAGGTCACAGCTTGATGACCTCCTTTGGAGGCACCAAGGTGGCAGGGCACACAAACACTTCCTGATTGCAAGACAGTCCTGTGTAGAAGACACATGGAGCTATGCTAGAGCCCTGGAGCTGAAGGAGCCACATGAGACCCCTGCCAGTGCTGAGATGCTTCCACTGCCACTGGATCCACAAGACTTTCCACCCATTAGCCTGTGATATTGCTGAATTTGGCATCATTGCATGGCTGCGTTGAGTCTAAAGAAGAATTTATGGACATAGGGTAATACTGGACTTATTGACTTGATCTGGACTGGGCTAGAATTTGTTCTCAATATTTAATTGCTCTTGTTATAAAGGTCTCTTTTACACACATGAGTGTCTATGAATTTGCTTCTCTAGTCAACCCAGACTAACACAGCACCCCTGATCACCAAGCCTTTCAGATTCCGCAGGCCTCCGGCCCAACCAATTATCACCCACTCTCCCTCCCTCTCCATCTTCAGCACCTATATATATCTACACGTTTGTACACACATGTGCACACAGAAAGCTCCCCTCTTAAAAACCAAAGCAATAAGCTCTCCACTTAACCATTCTCCTGTCCTCTCATTCCAGCTTATTTGAAAAACTGGTAAAAACCAGTTGCTACTGAAATGACTCTGATTCATGCAATCCCACAGATATATGAGAACTGTCCTCCCGAGGATTTTCAATAGTGGATTTTCGGAATGAGACCTCCAGGCCTTTCCTTTGTGGTGCCTCTGGGTGGACTAGAGCCTCCAACCTTTTGGTTAGCAGTTTGGCATGTTATCATCTACACCTCCTGGGGACCTCATATCGGAAAACGGACCCATGATTTACTGCCTTCATGTTCACGCACACTGCCTCTGCATGAACTGGCAAGGACACCAATGATGTGTACCAACAAAAAGTCTGTCTGAGGAAGAGGTACAGCCAGAATGCTCATTGGAAGCAAGGATGGGGAGACTTCGTCTCATGTACTTTGACATGTTGTCAGGAGGGGCCGGTCCCTCGAAAATGACAGCATGCTTGGTAAAGGGATGGGAAGCGAAAAAGAGAGAGAGACCCTTGACAGGATGGATTGACACAGTGCTGCAACAATGGGTTCCCACATCACAACAGCTGTGAGGATTGTGCAGGACCGTTCTTTTGTGCACAGCGTCTCTGTGGATTACAACAGCAACAACGAACTAATGGGCATCAGTTCATTTCCAGAGTTATTTCCTTGCTATAGCATTTTCCCTCATGCGTACGTTATTGCAAGGTATTCATGATAAAGTATGCAATTATGATCGTAAGGCACTTGTTTAGCTCATGAGGGAGGGGGAGCGGGAGGGAGGAGGAAAAGTGAAGAGCTGATGCCAGGGGCTTAGGTGGAGAGCAAATGTTTTCAGAATGATGAGGGTAACGAATGTATAAATGTGCTTTATACAATTGATGTATGTATGGATTGTGATAAGAGCCGTATGAGCCCCCGATAAAACGATTAAAAGAAAAAAAAGACACTTATTTAGAACTGGAGAATCAGAATCAATAATTATGAATTCAATGACCAGAGATCAAATCTTTGGACTTCAGCCTTTGAGGAGGCTTGACCACATCCTGGACTCAGAGAAGCCCCTTTGCTGCGAGGGTCTGAGCTTTGATGTGGTGGGCAGCTTCTCTGAGGACATGGTCTCAGAGAGGCACTCATGGAAATAATTTGCTTTCCCTTATATGTGAGCGAGACTCAGGGTTTGCGTTATTTTAATCACCCCAACTTTGAGGGCCAGCTGTTGTCATACTTATGCAAATTTAGGGCATTACATCTTTCCTTCAAGGTCAGCAAATGGAATAATGCTTCATCTTTATAAAAAACTAATGATTAATGGAGTTGTTTATGCAGCATTTTTACTGGGGACCACTCTGATAACCGAGGTCTCCTTTCTGGTAGATTCTATGGCACCAATCTTGCCCACTGGGCCCCCTTTGTTTCTGTCTGGCTCTTCCTCCAGTCTCTGGGAACTCCTAGACCCAGATGTCCCTCCTGGGAGCCCAGAGACCAGGAATAGTCTCCACCTAACACATGGCGGACAATTTTTACTGAAGTCTACAAAGATTTGAAATGTACACACTTCAACCTGTACAGTAATTTAGGGGAACAGTGCCTCAACACCACACAGAGCTCAGCATGTCACTTGAAAAATCTTAAGGTAAAATGTTATAGGAGAAAAAAAAAGAAAAAAAAGGTGGGATGGGAGGCAGGAAGTGGCTTGTGAGAATAAAGCACTGGAAATGTAGATGAAGATGGGACAGCTGAGGGCTGGCACCAGCCACTGAAATAAGAGGAAGGGGTAGGAGAGGCGTGAACAGCCACCTGGGCCCACGCATGCCATCAGCTCTCCTCCCTGCGGATCACAAAACCTGGTATTCTCTAAAAAAGACAATCTCTTCCAAGCACCCAATCAAGGAAATGGCTTGCCCTTTCCAATCAGTTTCCTTGTGACCACACTAAGCAGAGCAAGTCTCTCTGTCTTTGTGTCATTCCTGTGCAGAGGGCTCCCGCTACAAATGCTTTTCTAACCAGGCTTCCCTGAGAGAATGAAGACCAAATATCACAGGGTATCCACTGCTGGCGACAAATCAACTTTCCTCCCAGACATCTTGAGTTACTACCCGTACACCAAGCTTGGGAGAACTGAAAAAACAGTCATTTTCTATTGGGCTTCATCCTCTCATGGAGCACCCACTGGCTGAGCTAGCAGCTAAGCTAATGTTTCATACATAGGTGGCCTGGAAATTAAAGAAACATCCATTATCCCTGTCATTAGCTACTGGTCTGAGACGTGATCAACAACTCCTGCCCCTGAAGCAGTTCCACAGCACATCCCTCCATTCATCTCTTGGGCTTCTGCTACCCTGAGATCTGACGTGGCCTCCGATCCCCACCCCTCCCTACTGCTCAACAGGTCTCACTAGCACACCATGATGTCCAGGCTGGATGTGATCAGCTTAAAGGAGATAATACTATAAATGAATGAAGCCTTAAGAGTTTGTAACCACAGTTCTCATGCAGTTAGAGAGAAAACTGACAAAGCACTCTTGATTACTGGGATACCGTTTCTGATGGATTCCACACCAGTCTCATCCACAGAGCACCCTTTGTTCCTGTCTGGCTCTTCTTCCAGGTCTTGGGGACCTTAGATCAAGGTGTCCCTCCTGGAGCCCAGGGACCATGGGCAACCTCTATGTAGCACATGCCTTGACCAGTTTTTCTTCCATACTCTTATTTTATTCCAACAAATATACCTTGAGATAACTGGATCATCCAGGGGAGGGGAGGAGGGTGATGATATAATTTTTTTTCTACTATAATTTCTATTAAAAGCTTATCTGCTGGGGTGGAAAGGGGGAGCCAATTACAGGGATCTACATATAACCTCCTCCCTAAGGGACGGACAACAGAAAAGTGGGTGAAGGGAGACGTCGGACAGGGCAAGATATGACAAAATAATTTATAAATTATCAAGGGCTCATGAGGGCGGGGGGAGCGGGGAGGGGAAAAATGAGGACCTGATGCCAGGGACTTAAGTGGAGAGCAAATGTTTTGAGAATGATGAGGGCAATGAATGTACAAATGTGCTTTACACTATGATGTATATATGGGTTGTGATAAGAGTTGTATGAGCCCCTAATAAAATTTAAAAAATACTATCTGCTGATTTGACAGGGAAATTTTTATCTACTTTCACTCCAGGTTCTATGTATGCAAACAGAAATGTTTATGGCTGTAGAAAATACATCCACGCCCACTACTACTGAGTTTACTATTCTGACATAGGGACCTTGAATCTGAACCTATAAATCTTACTGGGACCAGGAAGTCTCATCTTTCTCCATCAGAGTGGCTGAGTGGTTCTCAACCGTTGACCTTGTGGGCAGCAGCCCAATGCTTATCCCACAGTGCCACCATAGTAGAATGTGAGTATCAAAATGGCCCAGGGACAGCCTACCATTTCCAAGTGAATGGTACCTATGAGATGGGCTCAGGAGAAGGGGAGGCTTTGGGTTGTTGTTTACCCTCTGCCCTCACGACACTCAGCTGGAAAACAGAAGCTGTTTCGGGGCAGGGACCTTGCAGAAGAGATGCCCCTGGGATAAGTGGTGGATATGTTTTGCTTGTCTAAAAGCTTTCTTTTCTCCATTAAGAACATAAAACGAACAACAGCTCTGCCTCTTTTTCCTTGAATTGCCACTGGGCCTACTTTGCTTCTCTGAGAGCCTGTCATGTCCATCCCTCAGGCTCTCTCTCAGACACCACGATCATTTCAGCAAGTCTTGGCTCACACGAAAGACCTAATGCTCCAAACCAGACATACAGTGTGCTCTGGCCACCGCGATGACAATGTCTCCTTCTCTGAAGGAGTGACAGGATTCGTGTCCTCATTGAACAACATGAGCAGCAGGGGCTGTCTCATCACCAGGACTGCCAGCACTTACTTGCCAGGGCCTTCTTTCCGGCAGCATGGTAGGCTACAATGTATTTCTTCCCCTCTCGGTCCTCTGTTTTTGTCTCTAGTCCTGGAAACAGAGATTTAATAGCTTGATGGATGACGGTTCTTTTCTCTTTGGAGTCCTCGATGACCTATCAAAACCACAGACACAAATCGGACAAACATCAAATAGGGAACTGATACTAATGAATTATGAAAACACAACCCATCTTATTCACTATGCAAAATCACAGTGCAGGGGTTCGATTTCAGAACTATTTTAACTGGCATTTCACAGCATGACAACTGTTAACAGCCTTTTGTTGAGCATGTATACATTACCTGACGAAGGAATTTTACATTCTTTTTCACATGTAATCCTAATATCCCAGTCACATCATCAATCTATTTATTGACAGAGGAGGAAAGTGAGGCTCCTCGAAGTTAACAAACATGCTGTTGAGATCACAAACTGGAGGGCAGCAGAGCTTGGCTGAAAGCCAGGCTGTCCGACTCCTGAGCCAGCAATCAGACCTCGGTGGTCTCTCTCTGCTACAGAAACACCTCAGGCTCCCGGATGCCGGGTGGGAGAGCAGGGCCTTTAGGATAAGGTGACTAGACGTCCCGCTTTTGGCAGGACAGTCTCCATTTTTAACAAATTCTCCCGCATCCTGCGGCATTTTTAAAAAGTCTTGATTTTTGGAAAGAATGCACGACAAGCCAGGGTATACAGTTTTCTGCTGCCATGTGGCTATTTCGCCAGGATATGAGTTTTATCAATGGTGTCCCGCTTTTGTCCCGCTTTACCAATGTTAAAATCTGGTCGCCTTACTTTAGGAATACACTCCCTCAAATAGTTGGATCTACACCTGCTTCACACTGAATTCCACTCAATGCAGAATCATTGTTTATTTTGTTTGAAAAGAATATTAGCCTGAGGGTGCAAAACACAAATTAGTTACACAGTGGTTAATTTGGGGGTGTGTCTCAACCTAAGAAATAAATTTTGCATTGTGATTCAATAATTACCAATGTATATACATTCTAAGCTTCATTATAAGATATTTAAATATGTCTTATTAAAGAGTGAATCCTGTGGTGTGGTGGTTAGGGTTCAGCTTCTCCCAGGGAAAAAGACCGGCTTTCTACACCAGTGAACAGAGCCTCAGAAACTCATAGGGGCAGTTCTACTCTGTCTTATAAAGGTCACTATGAGGCAGCATTGACAATTGCTTTTTGGGTTTGGGCCTTATTAACAAATGGGGGAGGGGGAGATATAACATTTTCCATTTTATTCTATTCCTTTTTAAAACATCAACAACAACCAAAAAAAAGCTGGTTGAGACCCACTAAATTGATTTCACGTATCACTAAAAAACACGGAGATTTATGACAACTATCACCGGCTAAATGTAACAGTCCTTTAGCAAAATTAAAAAACATTTTAAAAGTTAATTATAGATAAAAGACTTCCTATGAACAAGGGAGTCTAGATCTGGAATTACTGATGGTGTGAGGTAGAATCATAGTGTGTTATGTGTGAAGCTAGATGATAGAACTCAAAGTCTAATCTTACTTTACAGATAAACTTGCCATGAGTTTATGCCCTTTAAAGAGGGAAACTTTCAGTAGGTGGTATAACCATGGTTTTTAAGATGGTAGTTAATTTTGCTGCCTGTATAGGAAAATGTAGTATTACAACGCTAAGATGCACCACCGCACAGCACAAAGGAAACCAGGGCAAGGCCTGAGCTGCTCTGAGGGATTATACTCTTTGGTACTGTGGAAGATTTAGTCCACGGGTAAATCCAAGGACTGACGAGCCCTAAGATTATAATAGGAACCAGGTGGGACAGTGGCTAAAGCACTATGCTAAGATCAAACCCACTGCTTCTATGAAGATGTAAGGCCGTGGAAACCGTAGGAGCAGCTCTAGTCTGTTCAGCTGGGTCACCGAGAGTCCGAGTCAACTCAATGGCAACAGGCTTACAGTTGGGTCATGTGCTTGGGGTGTTACAGCAGGAGGCGGAAGAAATATTGGAGGCACACAATGAATTCCAAGAAGTTACAGTAAATGTCTGTTAATGGAAAGTGATGGAAGGGGGGATTTAAGATAACTCCTTAGAGTATTACACGAAATGAAATTTTGAAAATCTTGTGCCACATTTACTTTGCTACAACACCGCTTAGAGCTGCCCTCATCTACCAGAGTAGGGACCAAGCTGCACGTGACTACTGAGCACTTGCTATGTGGCTAGTCTGCATGTAGCTGTGCTGTTGTGTCAAACGCTGGATTTCTAAAACTCCAGAAAAACAGAATGTGAAACATGTGGCAAGTTTTAATGATTGAAACTATAATATTTATATATATGAGAGTAAATAAAACACATTTTAAAACGCAACCTGTTTCTCTTTACTTGAATGTGGCTGCTAGAAAAAACGAGTTACACACGAGGCTTGCATTGTAATTCTATAGAACAGCATGAATCTGGAAGCTTTCTTAAAGGCTTTCTCAAAAGGCACGTAGTCTAGTCTTTCTTAACTGAGTTCTCCTCATGAACAGCAGCAGCAGCCGTTCGTCTGAGCAGCCACCGGCAGGCCCTCAGCTCCTGTCTCCACTTTCCAGAGATCCTCAATCCACGACCAACACTATTAGTTGACACTACGTAGAATGGCTGTGCCACTGTTAATGACTAGATCTCTGTTAGTCTGAGGCCACTGAGAAACTTTTGAACAAAAATGTAACTTTTTTCCCCCCAGGGCTTATCTGAACAAGCATGCCTCAGGTTTGTTTCCCAACTACCACAATAAACTGAATATTGCAGTTAAGTGAGTCCAACAAGTTTTCTGGTTTCCCAGTGCACATAAATGCCATGTTTGCATAAGACTACTCTACTAAGAGCATGATGAGAAAGTGTGGGATTATCTTGAGAACGACTAAAATGTGATCCAGACAGGAAGTGAGCACATATATGTCTTTGGAACTATGGTGTTGATAGACTTTTCTTCTTTAAATATTTTTATAGACATATCTCATTTATTCCAGGATATCCCTTCCCTTCCCATACAGTTCTGTTGTTCAATCCCATCGTGTGGGACTATACAGTCATCAATGCTATCACTCCCCTCTCGCCCCCTTCCTCTACCACCCCCGCCCCCATCTCACTTCCCATATCCGCTGGGAACCCTTACTCCTCTGTCAGGGTCTCTGAGGGGTCATCTATCTTGACTGCCTTGTGCCGAGCGATCTCAAATGTACAAATGAACATACACAAGTTGATAGACTTTGTTGACCAAGGTTGCTACAAACTAGCAATCTGTAAAACCACAACAAAATGAAACATCTGCAAAGCATAATACAGTGAAGTCCAGGACAATGAGGTCCACCTGTACTGGTTCCCCTTTCAGATCAAAGAGGAAAAGCTCACTGCACCCTTTTGTTCCCCACTGTAATCTTTAAACATCGCTACCTTTCAGCATCCACCTAGAAAGAAGCAATCAAAACCCTCAAGGATCTTTTCATGTATTTTTGCACAATTTACCTCAATGGCAACACTGGTTTCCTTATTTTTAAAAAGCTGGAGCTCTTCCAAACGCTGCTTTTCTTCGGCTGTCAAAACCGTAAACACCTCTTCTGAGGGGTCCTTTAAAACAAGCGTGAGAACTCCCAGTGAGTCAAACATGGAATTGGACGCCAGAAAGCTCTGTATTTCTACCATCTCTAGGAAATGTGATTTTTTTTTAAGTAAATGAGATTATATTGAACACAGTTCTGGAATATGATTCTTTTAAAAATTATTTTATTGGGGGCTCTTACAGCTCTTATCACAACCCATCCATCTATTTGTACATCATCATTTTCAAAACATTTTCTTTCTACCTAAGACCTTGGTATCAGCTCATTCCTCCCCATTCCCAGCCCCTCCCTCATGAATCCTTGATAATTTAATAATTTTTTTTTCATGTCTTACACCGACCTCTGTTTCCCTTTACCCACTTTTCTGTTGTTCATCCCCCTGGGAGGGGGTTATATGTCGACCACTGTGATCGGTTCCCTCTTTCTCCCCTCAAGAAATGCTACTTTACACGGAAGATGACTTCGGTTAGAACTACTTCTACCTCCTCATCCACAGGAACAGACAAGTCATCCAAATGGCTGATCCGCCCATCTTTTCCTATCTCATGAACAACGAAGTCAGAGTATCTGGTGGAAAGAAAACACAACGTTCAGAGAACAGACCCTTCATTTCCTACTAACTTGAGGTCAAAGTTTATTACCCCGCTATGTCTTCCTGTTCTATCAAACAGGATTCAAATTAAAGCCATTTCTGGTTTCCTAATAAATGCTGTGCCACATCGTAGCTAAGGCTTTGTATCCAAGTTTAACAAAAAGGCCCTCTGAGCTTCTTATCTAGGGCATTCTTTCCGAGAAATGAACAGATAAAAGCTTACTAACATTACAGAGTAGCTATATAATCCACACTACTGCAAATCATAGAATACTCTAAGTGGCTAATTAAATCAACCTAAACAGAAACAAAGCCTAACTCACTCTCATCAAGTAGATGCCAACTCATGGCAACCTGGTAGGACAGCGCAGAACTCCCCTTGTGAGTTGCCAAGGCTGTAATTCTTTCTTGGAATAGAAAGCCTCCTTTCTCCCACGAAGTGGCTGGTGGTTTCAAACTACTGGCCTTGCAGAATGCAGCCCGACTCGTACCCATTATGCAACCAGGGTCCCTAAGTCATTCCTAGCACTTTAGAAATCGTGTCTACTATCAACTATGCCAAAGCTTATGTTTAGCAAACTACTTTACACACATCATTGAAAAGGATTTCAACAACCCCAAGGTGGTGTTATAGTCCATTTTTCAGATGAGGAAACTGAGGCTCAAAAGGATGAACTGATGAATAACTAGAGGCTCATCTGGGATTCATGCACAAATCCATCTTGTTCTAAGGACAACTTTTTTCCGATGGTGAGATGTGGCACTTCCCAGTCACCAGCTGTATGACTAATTCGGGAGAGAGCTAGAAATCACTGAAAACGATTTCAAAAGAAATGATGGGAACTCATTTACACATGAACAATGCATGACCTCTGGACATTACTTCTATTCCTCAGAGAGGTGTGGGGAGGAACTCCTCTTGATAAGGACTGGCCGTGGTTGGCACAAAGGATATGTTAACAACTCAAGGACATTCACTCATTTGGTCAGCTCTCCCTGTCCTGCTTCTTTCTGGCCATCCATGCCAATGATCCTTGGGAATAGAGAACGCTAAATGGAAGAATACAAGGCTGATTTTGTTTCTAAAGAAAAGAATATAACTAATTAGTTATCAAAATTTAACGAATATCATCTTATACATAAACTAAACATACCTTTCTTTTAAAATTCCTGAGAATCCTTCATGGGAACTTACAAACTTGGTGATGCCCACATCAAGTTCAGTGAGTCCATGCTTCATCATGTCTGCAAAACTTTCCACTTCCTCCTCCTCCTCACCTTCCTCTGAAAGGCCATCTTCCTCCTCCTCTTCCTCCTCCTCCAACTGAGCTTCAGAATGGTTCTTAGCTTCCCCAGCACTGACAGCTTCGGCTGCCACAGGTACATTCTCCCTGCAGGGGAGAGCGTCACTCTCTAGCTGGTCCTGGTCTTTGCTCAGACAGCATTCTGAGACCTTCTGTCTCTTGACCTCCTCTCCTGGAGCTGGACTCTCATCTTCCACGGCAAGGGACCCACGCTTCAGGGACACACCAGTTGTTCCTGTCATCTCCATTTTTGAGGCTTCAAGAAAGCATTTAAGAGAACCTTTGGGGAAGACCAAGAATAGAAAACAATGACCTACAAGGAAGCTGGTTTCAAGCAACAGAGGTACAGTTAACTCTGGTCCTCCCCAAACCAATGCTGATTCCAACTAGAGGCCCTTCCAGGACAGAAGCAAACTGTCACATTGGGTTTCCAAGGCTGTAGATTATGATGGAAGCAGAGATCCTCTCTTTCTTCAGTGAGGTGGCTGGTGGATTAGAACCACTGACCTTTTGGTTAGCAGCCAACTGCTTGTTTGTAAAGCCCTAAAAATGATGTACTACCGTAACTGTTCCTGGCATTACCATATAGTTTTAGTACGGTAAAAACTTCACAATAAATCTGTATGGGATTTAACGGTAAGCATACAAATCCTTAAAAATACACATGCCAAAGAAACCAAATTATGTACACACACACACACCCTTTGACCCACAATTTGAGAGATTGATCTTAAGAAAATATGTGCACAGTTTGAGCTATAAGAATACACCATCACAGAGCTTTCGTATCAGTAAAAAAAATCATGAACAACAATGAAGCCTGGATACATAAATTGCAGAATATATAGAAATAATATGAAAAAGAAAACAGGAAAGTGGCTTCATCTTCCTGCATAGGATATAGGCAGCTAGGGACAGCAGTGGGAGACTTGCTGTTTTCACTGAGATCCATTTTTGCATCGTTGAACTTTTTTCCCTCATGTGTATGTATCAGCCACTTGAAAATCTGAATCCACTAAAGCAGTGTCTAAGATCAAGTACATATTTCAGCACAGAGCAGCTGGAGAGAGGCCGAAACAGATGGCAGTCAGAATAAATGCATACATCCAAGACTCTGTGTCTATTCTGACATTCTTAGTGAGATAAGGATAAAGGTTTCCCAGTATTATATAAGGAGACACTCAAGTTAATAATAATCTCAAAAAAAATACTCATAAAGGAAATGAATGCCCTAGACCTCCAAAGGTTGGATTAACAAGAGACTCACCTTTAGAAACAATCTATAGAAGATAATAATAATGATTATGAACTACATTTTAATAACCCTTATTGATTTTTTTCTCACTGTCAAACTCAAGAACGGAAAGAAAAGTAAAGTGAAAAAGACAGAGGGGCTGTAAATCTATTTAAAAATGGGCCCCCACCATGAAAAACAGTATTCCCCAAATCAAACGTGGAAGGCAGGTTAGGCCAATAAAAACATGAACCTAGAGTCATTTTTAATGATATTTCTCCATTTAAACAACTAAGAAGGAAAAAAGGCAAATACATGTTAAAAAGAAAAGGAAGGAAGGACTATAAGAGTTATTAAGAAATAAAAACATAGGAGGATGTCAGGAAAAAACATTCTGAAAAAGTAGAAGAAATGAAACAGAAGCAGACAAAAACTAGTAAAAGATTCTAATTCAAATAAGAAAATACTTATTGTTTTAGCAAGGCACACTAATAAGTTTCTGGTTTAAGGATCAAGACGTTGCATGCCCCTGAAGCACACCCTGCTACTCAGGAAGTGTTTTTTCCAATTGGACCGCTCTGATTCCTACTTTACATGCATACACGAGCCTCATGCTAGCAAGTCGATTCAGGGCGACCGGGACAGAGGTGCTATTTCACACTCACTTTATGCCAACAAATCTGCCCTCACAGAGTTTGCAGAAAGTGAAGGCGGGAGAAAGGGGCCAAACCCTATGCAGCCAGGGCCCATGGAAACAGAAAGGGAGGCACCAGAGAAGGCCACATGAAAGACTTCAGACTAACCCTGCACCACATTTCAAGGAATAAAGTGCTGTGAGGTTGTGGGACTTGAAATTGGTCAAGGGGGGGCTGGGGGAGGGGGGGGTTTGGATACACCAGCGACCCTGGGGCACTGCGTGGGGTAGGGAGCATCTTGTGAAGGGAGAGGGTGCATGGGAGTCACAGTAGGCTAAATGCCGGAATTACATCTGACAGAGGTTTCAAGCAGGTTTATGACCAGATTAGACTGCGAGCTAGGAAAGTTCCTGGCCCTCTCAAAGGTAAAGGGAGTTTGGATGAAAGACCTGGTAATAAATAAAGCAAAGATACCACCTCAGCAAGGAACCCTGGTGGCATGGTGGTTAAGCACACAGGCCAAATGGTCAGTTGCTCAGATGACAGCCTTGACAACCCTAGGGAGTTCTCGTCTGCCCTCCCAGGTCTGATTTGGAATCAATGCAACAGCAACAGAGTTGGTTGTGGTGCTTGGTATTCCACACAGCACATTAGGGCAGCCTGATCTAAGCCAAGTCCCAGTGGCGTCGCAGGTTGCCAACTGGAAGGTCAGCATTTCAAATCCACCAGTCTGCTCCCATAAAGATTCATCATCTCAAAAACCCCTAGGAGCAGTTCTACTTCGTCTTACAGGGTTGCTATGAGCTGAAATTGACTCGATGGCAGTGGATTGGGTTCTATCTCCCTAAGGAGCACTGGTGGCACTGTGTTCTAGGCCCTGAACTGCTGTGAGGTTGACTGGCTGCTCTCTGGGACAAAGAGGAGGCTCTCTGCTCCCATAAAGATGTGAGGTCTCAGAAACCCTCTAGATGAGTGAGAATCAACAGTGGAATTGGTTTTATGGAGGGTTTCAGCTAAAGCTGAAGCAGGGGAGAGGGAAATGGGTCCAAGGAACATTCAGAGAGTAGTGGGGTCAGGACTCGGTGACAAATATGGGAGTAAAGGGGACATGCTCCGGGTTTACTTGGGATTTTGCCTTGGGGACCTGAGAGAAGAGTATCCTGATACTGAGACAGACCGCAGAGAGGGGCAGTGAGTGAGCCATCTGACCTCGGCCACAGTACCCCAGTCTGGTGCCAAGTGCGCCCCTTGGTGCCGGGGTACCTCCACGTGGAATGTCTGCACACCACATTGTGTCATACATAGCCGACCAGTGGCCAGAACCCCAGGGATGATGCAGGGTCCCCAAATGACACGCTGTGGCCTACCTACCAGAGACCCTGACAATTTCCAGGGGTCAGAACTCCAGGGTAGTAGTAGTTACTGCGAGGTCAGCAACTTGAAACCACCAGCCGCTCTGCGGGAGAAAGAGGAGGTTTTCTGCTCCTGTAAAGAACCTCGGAAACCCACAGGGCAGTGGTTCTCAACCTTCCTAATGCCGCGACCCTCTAATACAGCTCCCTCCAAATGCTGTGGTGACCCCCAACCATAAAATTATTTTCCTTGCTACTTCATAACTGTAATTTTGCTACTGTTATGAATTGGGCGACCCCTGTGAAAGAGTCATTTGACCCCAAAGGGGTCGTGACCCACAGATTGAGAAGCGCTGCCATAGGGGCAGTTCCACCCTGTCCTATATGGTCACTCTGAGTTGGAATGGACTC